CGCCAACGTGGATGCAGCTTCCCTGCCGCCTTTCATAACTTCTCGTTTCGCTGGGGTGACGGTGGGGCAGTTTAAAGTCTCCTCAGCGACGCGGATTTCCGTGGAGCCCTCCTCCGCTGTCCCAATGCTCTACAGCGCCAGGCTTCGGTTCCCCGTTTACGATGTCGGCAGCGACAGGGCCCGCCCCGAAGACAAGCACGCGTCGGATGGCAGCGCCCTCCTGCTCATCCCACACGGCGGGATGTTCCGGGGCGGGCCGTTCCGCAAGTTTAAGGCGTGGGTCGCGTGCGGCAACGGTGACAGTCCCGACGCCGGACGCGTGGAGCTCGCCATCAGGGAATCCGCTCCCGACGACTTCGTCGCTCAGCTACAAGCAGCGGCCGATAGCAGCACGCCCCTCTACGTGTATGGTGCCAAGATCAGCCCCTCCAATAGCAAAGCTTATATGAATAGCGTCTTCCTCAGCGGCTCGCTTGTAGCAGCAGCGAGTGCCCCCGGCAAACGCCCTCCCAAACGAGTGCACACCTTCCAGGCGGCTGTTCAGCGAACTACCGCAGCCACCGTGCCCGCCGACACGACTGATATGGTATTGGCTTGGGAGCAGCGTAGCCGCAGTGCCCTTGTTTTACCGTCGGATGGTCCACACGCCTCGGCCACCCTGTCACCCAACCCCACTTCTGTCACTGTAGTCGGCTCACTACCGGTCCTCCCGCTCGTCCTCACAATCGGCAGCCGCAGTTATCCGGTGTGCACCGACAGCATCGCCGTCATGCAACAGTTGCCAAACTACGACGAGTTCTTCGGCAGCGCCAGCTTCGCAGACGATAATGATCGTATGGCGTACGCTGCTTACGACTCGTTCACCGTCACCGGTACCATCACCACCAAGACAGAAGGTCGAACAACGTTCATCACGGCTCTGCAGGAATGACTCGTTCTTGCGTGTTCATCCACTTGCACTGCCGTCCGCTGCACGTCGTCCAACTTCGCTATGGCTTGCACCTGTCCCCTCCCTTCACTTCCATCTAGCCGCCCCTGGATGGCGTTAAATGCCAGCGTTGAGCGGCTGTCTAGCCGCGCAACGACACGCTTGCAGGGCTGGGTGCATTCCGTGCACTTGTGGGTTCGACTCCCACACAAGTTGGCGGCGTCCCTCGCATCTACACTGGTGAGTGTATGAACGGTATGACCGGTTTCGCTGGTATAAGTTAGGGTGTTGACGCACGAATGCTGTACCGGTTTGACATCCGTGCGTGTCTCATTCGTATCCACCTCTTGCCGCTTCCCCGCTCTCCCTGAAGCATGCTCTGCTGTGCGTGTCCCACTCGCGTATATGATGGTTGGACATAACGAATTGCCCCGATTACCGGGCTTGTCTTCACCCGACCTTTGCGCTGTCGTGCAGGTTTGCATGTGTTGAAGCTGCTGCTCCGGCAAGCCTTCGTGCTGTTCTCTTCGGTGTCCTCCGTTAGGCGCGGTAAGTGTGCATTATGACGCAACGCACATATGTGCGTGTCGGCACGTTAGTGCTTGTCCGTCGCACGAAAACGTGCCAGCAAGTGTACGACATACGTTGTTTTGCATGACCTCGTTTTGTGTCGGTTTTCGTTTTTATTTACGTACATCCTTTACTACGACATAGCGACTCGCCGTTGTGACGGTGTCCACGCATACGTGTGCACGATGTCCGCGGAATCACGTCATGTTAAAATGTGTACGACAACTTTGGTGTCGTTTATTTTAATGCACGCGCAAACTATTTTATGTCAGTTCTCCTTGTACATGTTTTGTGTAGAACTGTTTATTTTAGATGTATGTATATTGCGTGTCAAAGCAAGTGCTTAACGGCCGCGATAATTAGTCTGTATTACCGGTGTTCATCTTGCTGCTTATTATTTCTCTTGCTTTTTCGACATAGCGAGTTTTCGCGATATCCGGCCCTGCTTCTGCACAACCGTCACGCATCGTCGCTGCAATGCGTTGCATATTTGCGTGTATCGTGGTTCCTGGTGCCGAGCATTTCCACGCCGCGCTTTTCCTGCGAGGTCTCCATCGCGCGCGCTAAGTGTGCGATGAGTTGGCGTCCATATGTGTCGGCGCATCAGATGTGGTGCGATGCGATGCACTGCCCGCACAGTCTTGTGTCTGGATTATAAATACACGCCCTCCTGTCACTCCGTGTTATATGATTGCACCCACGCTATTCCGTCTGACCGTCTGACTGTCTGTCATTCCTTCCGGATTGCCACTGCCGTCTGTCTGCAGTCTCCTGCGCTGACACATACGGNGTCCCATCCGTCACTCTTGCCGCTCGTCCGTC